AAAACTCCACAAACACATACATTACTTTCAACAAAATCACCACTTGGTTGATGTGTCTGACTATAGCTCCTGTGGGGCCCTACAATAACTTTTCTACCTGTGTATAATTGATCAATGCATACATTCTCAATGTTAGTATTTTTGTCATCATAACTAGAGTTGTCTATTTCACTTGATTCAGACCTTTCTGATCTAACGTAATATTGTATCTCCCATCAGGCCATGTATATAATTCTCCTTTCTGAAAATCATTCAAATCTCACAAGAAAGTCTTTTGTTTTCTTTGTTTTATCTTCTCTTTGTGTTTTTTTTTCTACATGTTTTTTTCAAAGATTCCCCCATGTTTCCAAATTCTGGATGTGTGTAAGACTTCAGAATTTTTTGCTGTTCCGCTTTCAGCCTGGCATTGATTTTCTCAAAATATTTCCTATCATATTCTAACAAATAGTGGATATATCTCTCAAGGTATTTTCCATTTGTAGATCCTGCCAACCTTTCATGAATTCTATATCCTCAATATATACAAGCTTGGTTTTAAAAAAAATTATCAAACCCTTCACTGTAATTCTCTGCTTTATATAAATTTCAAACTGGCTGTTTCCCATCAGGAGCACATACGTTGTTTGAAACATTTAAAACATTTTTTGGAAATCTTCACTAATCCCTATATCACCTTCTTCCATCAGCAGGTCCTTAATAGAAAATACTAAGCTATCTTCTAAAACTAGTGATTCAAAATGTATATCTTGTTCTAGAAATCCAGCCATGTTTCTGCCTAGGAAAATCTCCCCAAAACCTTCAGGACTTATATTATTTAAATTGTCACCACACTGATCATAGTCCGATAAGGAAGATTTATTTTTTCAAGTCCTCCTCTTTTTCTGGGGTATTACTATATGACATGTATTGCACAAACATGATGCATATTAGTGCTTGTACATCATCCCCATTAGAGTCATTTAAATCTAAATTTTATTTCTTTCACTAAAAAATGTTTCCCTTTATTAGCATCTGTAGCCCTGTTATGGGATCCGCTCCTTTAAGAGAAAAGATATTGCAGCTGCAGGTGGAGCCGGAGAGCACAGCTTTGTGGGGATTGTGGACACAGCCACTGAGGAATGACAAATGAAAATGGATACTTGAACTAAAATTCCCAGAGTGCTAAAGGGGAGAAGGGAAGTAAACTCTGAGGGCTAAAGGTTGCTGGCCGGAGTGATATACAGTTTGATTACTGTCCAACAAGTTCACAGTTAGAATAACCGCATTTACTGATCATCACTGCTATGCAGATGTCTCATATACAGTCTCTGTGTTATGCTGTGTAGAGATAAATGTTGATGTTGTATACTGCTATTCAGATTATTATATACAGTAAATAGTTATTTAAAATCTCACAAGGTGTGCTGGTGTGCTGTGGATTCATTGTTTGTGGTGTGTCACAGAGGTGATACAGAAGACCCGATCATCCAGCGGCTCCTTCGGGGGTGAGCGCTACACATCCATCACTTTTTAGAGGGAATCATGAAGAAATAATGGCCAATTTCAATGCAGGACGAGCACCTAAGGAAAGCTCTGAATAAACATCCGAGTATAACATACCAAAGAGGCAGAAACACACACGATAGACTGGTACATTGGAGGAGAAGAAGAAGAAGAAGAAAAAAGTTGAGGATAAGAACTTGTTTCCGGAACCACCAAAAGTTTATTTTCATTTTGGTCACTGTAAGGCCTGTAAATATACAGTATCTGACCGAAATGAGTACACCCCTCACATGTTTGTAAATATTTTATTATATCATTTCATGTGATGACACAGAAGATGCCCCACACATCTGTGGGGCATCCGCAAATGAAAGGTGGAGGAGTGCAAGGTCTCTAACATCCACCAGCTCCGGGATGTCGTCATGGAGGAGCGGAAGAGGACTCCAGTGGCAACCTGTGAAGCTCTGGTGAACTCCATGCCCAAGAGGGTTAAGGCAGTGCTGAAAATAATGGTGGCCACACCAAATAGCAAAGTGTCATTTCTTCTGTGTCGTCACATGAAATATCATAAAATATTTACAAAAATGTGAGGGGTGTACTCACTTCTGTGAGATACTGTATGTATACAGATAAAAACTAATAAGATACTTGAGTAAGCTAATGCTGCTGCAAAAAAAAAAAAAAGAAGTTTGTATTAAGGTTATAGAGTAATTGTTTATAGAGGATTAACAAATATGCTATAATATAAATCCAATATAATGATATATTTATTTTTTAAATACAACCAAACTCAAATGTTCAGGGAATAACATTTTTACATGACTGCTCGGGTGTTCTTTTTGTACCTTGCCTTCTTATCTAGGCTGTACACGGTGCAAATTTTAGCCGGTTCATTATGAAAAAAATGAGCACAATGGGTGCCACTGTCGGCACACTTCCATCCGGCATCCCTTGAACAGCTGATTAAAGGAGTAAGTTGGAAAATCTTTGGCCAAATGGAACTTGCAGCCAATCAGCAATACAATGCAAAAAAGCAGGGGATCTTCCCTCTGAATTTGGATGATAACCTCCATCCACATTGGTAGCATTGATGAAGGAATCTATTACATTTTCCTTGTTCAGCCTGCAGGTTGAATAAAGAAAATAAACCCGTGTATAGACAACTTTACTCTAAGGAAATCTAGAAACAGAGGGGGGGGGGGGGCCCCCAAACAAAGCCCATAAACTCCTGCTGAGAAATGTCTTCTCAATGCTGTGTCAGGCTCAGTGCTCCATATTTCTTCCACAGACTCAAAGTTGGAACAAAGAAAATACAACTATGTATACTCAGCTTTACTTTGAGGAAATCTAGAAACAGAGGGGGGACCCCAAACAATGGTCACAATCTCTGCCCCATGTGCAGTGGCGTAACACAGGCCTGGGTCGCTATGGCATCTCACACTGCTGGCTGTCACTGGCGGCTGTGAAGAGAAATGTGACGCTGTTCAGATCACTGAAAGTGATCATTGCAGCGGCGCGTTCCTCTCCACAGCCGCTGCTGAGTCGGTGGAGCATGCTGGACCTAGCAGTGGAGGAGAAGTCGGGGCCAAGGGTTGAAATCAGAAGAGGAGGCGGGGCCCAGCCACAGGGGAGGGGGAGGGCCTGGCTCATCACCGACGGTGGAGGAAGAGGAGGCGGACAGGTAAGGAATGTGACCAGCCCATCTGGGGGTGACCCTGCAGAGCCCACCTTAGAGAGTCTATGGTGGGCTCTGCAGGGTCACCCTCAGGTGGGCTGTGTGGGGTCTCAATTGGGCTCTGTAAGGGGTGTAACTAGAGATCAAAGGAGCCCCATACAACATTTTGCTATGGGGCCCTGTGATTTCTAGTTACGCCCCTGCCCATGTGTATCCACTCCTGCTGGGATATGTCTTCTCTATGCTATGCCGGGCTCAGTACCCCACATTTCCACAGACTCAAATTTCTAATTTCACATACACATCATACACACCTGTGTTGGCTTTATCATTGCATCAATGTGCAAAGTACAGACACGTTGTAGGCTCACATGAGATATTTTGGGTTCTAGTCATTTCGGTGATAAATTTAAAAAACTCTCTTTTTTCTAAATGCTGATTTTTGTTCAGTTCTGCTAATAAATTTCTGCCATAAGAAAACAGCTGAAATTAGATAATATGAATCTTATTCGGGACAAAGAGAGCTGTATGACACCGATGTGTATAAAGAGAGGGATGGAGAAGAGTCAGGTCATTATACTGTCACTGAAATGCACACTCTGCAGATGTCTGTGTCAGATTATGTCACCAATCATCATGAAAGTGATTTTATGGCCATGGATTATATGTTACCGTGTAAGAATGCAGTTCTCAGATTCACAGCTGCATCTCATCCCTTTAAAGTCCTCTTGTGGGTGCTCTTATTTTGTGTGGCACCATTCGTTTCATACAGCCAGAGTCCGGCACCGGCCTGTAACCTCAGTCTGAAAGATGTCTATGAGGACTATGAATGTTTCAAGGATGGAGACATTGTTCTTGGAGGAGTTTTCACTGTGAAAATAGTATTAAATTATATACCAGACTCAGTTATGGATAATGATGAGAATAAAGGAAAAGCTTTTGTGTAAGTCCATTAACATGACACTTTATAACAAAACATACTACAAGTGTTTCAGTGCCGGAAATTCTGTTACATTATTTCACACACTTTTCTTAGACATTTGTCTGAGCAATATTTCTGTGAACAGAACTCGAGATATTAATATTTTCTATTAGAAAATTTCCATTCTATCTTGATTATCTAAATTTCAGATTCCCCCCTCCCCCCCATATTATGGCTTCACAAATAGTGATGGGCAGTGATTTCGTAAATGAAAGCTTGCGGAGAATCTATTCGGTCATCCGCACACTTAGAACATAGAACCATGGAAGAGTGACGGCATAACAAGACCAAGTGGTCTACTGAGTCTGACTCTTTTAGTCTGAGCATACAGGTGAAACTCGAATAATTAGAATATGGTGCAAAGTTCATTTATTTCACTAATGCAACTTAAAAGGTGAAACTAATATATGAGAGAGACTCATTACATGCAAAGCAAGATAATTCAAGCCGTGATTTGTCATCATTGTGATGATTATGGCTTACAGCTCATGAAAACCCCAAGAACCCCAAATCCACAACCTCAAAAAAGTAGATTATTACATGCAATCAATAAAACAAGGATTGTACATAGAACAATATCGGACCTCTGAAAAGTACAAGCATGCATATGTACTCAGTACTCGGTTTGGGCCCCTTTTGCAGCACTTACTGCAATTACTTTTGCACGATATTCTAATTATTCGAGTTTCACCTGTAGGTCTATGTCTGTCTCAAGTATGTTTAAATTCGCTTATTGTTGCTTGACCTCCTTCCTACATCTCCTGGAAATCCGTTTCAGTAAAACAACACACCTTTTCTTATGTCTTGAACTTTCCACCAAGATCTTATTCAAATATGATAAATGATGGCCCTGAAACTTTGCATGCCTTATTAAGACTAAAGCAAGAACAAAAAACAGATATTAGAATTAGGGCTGTGCAAATTAACGATTAATTTCTCGATTAATCGTTAATCTTTTTGATCGATTAAAATTTTTTTGATCGATTACATTTTTTTAAAAACTTTCTGCACCAGCACCAGCCAAGGCTTTGGCCTATACACATACAGCACAGCAATGAAGTAATACAATGAACTAGGATCACACTAATCCAGCACGTTATTATTCTGAGTTGCCCCACTCAAGCGGCGGCCATATTGAGTGGGGCAACTCAGATTAATAACGTGCTGGATTAGTGTGATCCTAGTTCATTGTATTACTTCATTGCTGTGCTGTATGTGTATAGGCCAATATAGTTGGATCTGTATGTGCGTTATAATTAATCAAAATTAATCGATTACATTTTTTTTCGATTAATCGAACACAAAAATTTTAATCAGTAACAGCCCTAATTAGAATATGTTATGTTGGTGTATGAAGGACATGATTTTTTGCTTTTGCAAAATGGTACCACTTGTCCTCATCCCCCGTTACCCAAATAGGTTGATAACTGCAGGGAGTGCAGTTAGTAATCTTAAATCCAAGTTCACAAATGATAAGGGATCTTTGGTGACTTGGTTGGCTCACTGTTACATTGGGAAGGGGATGTAGTATGTGTTAGGCAGGTGGAATATTAGTACAAGCACATACAAATGATCATTATTTTTTTTAAAGAAAGAAGCTGTCCATAGTCCCACTGTTAGGAGGGCCGAGCCAGTGACAGCTCACAGGAAGGTTCGTGTGGTCAATCACGTTGTCAGGCCGATTGTACTTGTCATTGATGTCTATCAAAACTTTTTCCATAATCTAATTGTTTTTCTGTTAAGTTTAATCTGTTTTTACAGTCAGGATACTAATGTACACCGCATGTAAACCCAATCACTAAATTCTCATGTAACTCTCTCTCTCTCTCTTTAACATATTCAAAGGACAATTTAAAAAAAAAAAATCTGTCTTTTTAAATCTTCAGCTTTCAGTAAAATAATCCCCGCTGACCGTGCCATAATGGTCCTAGTTTGGGCAAATGCTGTTATAGAGTCCCAGTCTTGTGTCCTGCATTGTCACTGGGTCACATGGGCTCTTGAGACAAAAAGTGGCTGTTTTAACACACTTTATATAGTAATGGTACGCTGTTGCCATAAAAAAAGAAATCCTGAGAAATGCCATGCAGCCTTCAACTGTGAACAAAAAAGTTGCTGCACAAAGGCTGCAGAAGATCAGCAGTGATGAGATGCAACAAAACCCGAAAAATAAGTGAAATTAAGTCTTTTATTCAATTGCAGTCTTCCCAAGGGTTCATTAAAAAGGGGTGACAACACAGGAGAGCCATTGTTGAGATAATTGTCACCACATAATAGGCTCCTGGACAAGGACCTTCATGGCAGGATCACCAGGGGTTATTTTTATGAAAGCTGCAGGATTTTAAAGATTGAAATCTTTTTTGAAATGTTATTAACATTAACCCAATCACTAACATCTCTATGTTAAAGTTGACTGATACGTGATGGTTGATGATAAATGTCCTCTATGACACATGTCCCCTATATACCAAAAGAACTGACAATGATATATTTTTGTAATTTTGTAAATTAAGATTTATTTTTCACAGGATATCTTTGCAAAGTTACGTAAATGTTCTAATGTTCATGTTTGCTATTGATAAAATTAATCAGGATCCAGACATCTTGCCCAATATCACACTGGGCTATCATCTATATGACTCTTGGTCTGATCCCAGTAAGGCTGTACGGAGTGTTCTGCAGATCTTATCTGGACCGGGTAAGACAATTCCTAATTATTCCTGTACAGGACACGGCAAGCTGGCTGGTGTCATTGGAGATCACTATTCATTCACAACGATCCCAATAGCCCAAATCCTCGGACTGTACAGATATACACAGGTCGGTGCAACTTATTTTTTTCTTGAACCTTTCTCCATATTCTGGACATAAATGGATCTCTAAATTAAAATGCCCACATAGATGAAGTATTCAGCTCCGTCTCTTCTTGTTATTTGTGAACCCATTTGTAGAGTTTACATTTTTCTTGTACCAAGCATACAAACCCATTAATGTAATGTTGTGACAACACAAATGAAATCTGACCTATACGCAACCAGCAACGTTTACCACTGACATACAAATATAGGAGTTGTTCTACCTGCCAGAGGATCTATGTTTTCTATTCATCTAGCTCTGATACTTACACAGCCCTGCGAGACAGCATAGCAACATACAGGGCCGGCCTTAGGGGTGTGCGGGCTGTGCGGTCATGAGGGGCGTGGTCACTATGGGGCGCTGTAAAGCTTTCTCGCCCAGGGCGCTTAAAGACCTAAGGCCGGCCCTGGCAACATAGACTGGTCACTTCCCAACCCTCAGCTTATAAATGAACATTGAAGGAGCAGGCTGTCAGCACGTTCTTTGTAAGCATCTTGGGAACACCCAAATGGCTCCCAGTCCTGCCTCTCTCTCCTAATGCTGCTGTACAGAGGATTTTAAGAGGATGAAAGCAAGTCAAAATATGGTATGTAGTTATATTTAAAAATGCATTCATTTTATATTTTTCATTTAATTTGTAACTTCCTTCACTTTTTTCACATCTACCCAAAGTTCGAAAAATACATTTTTAATATTTTGAATTACTTATTTTCCTAACTCCTTCATGACTGTGTCACACACATATATGTGGAGTCAAGCAAAATGGCTCCATCGACGTAATCCAGAGTCAATCAGGATGTAGGACCCTTGCCGACCCGCGGAAATAAAAAGAAGTCCCGCCGCACGACGCCCGTCCGATCCCGACGAAAACTAGCCGCAAAAAATGACATTCAGTCCGAATGTCAACAGATGGGTGGAGCGAGCCATGACATCACGGCTCACTCTGCCCATTTGACATTCTCAGCTGTCAAATGCTACATATTGCATTCATATATATCAAATGCTTCTATAGTTAAAAGTTCAGAGTCAATAGTGTAGAGGTTAGAGTACAGGTTTGCCATTGTCAAGGTTGCAGGTTCTAATCCAGAGCAGGGAGAATAATGGATACATTTTTTTTCTTTGCTTTTGAATTGGCATTCTCCTAACAGGGTCTGGTATGAATTGGGGGGGAACCTCAGGCTTTTTTTTTTTTCATCTTCTGCAGACTGTAAAAAAAAAAAAAAATGTCATTTTTCCCCCCCCAATGTCATTTTGCTGCAATGAAATTCGTCCAATAACGAATTGCGTCCATAAACAAATTTTGGCCGGACTACCATTAACGGATTTCATCCGAAAACCGAAATCCGAATCCGAAAAACGAAACGAAACACATTTTTTGTTGTTGTTTCAAAACGAAACGAAACTAAACAAATTTTTTGCTGGTGCACATGTCTAGTCAGGATCAGTTTGTGGCAGTGTAATTTACATAGGATTAAAAAAACAACAACAACAAAAAAGCAAAAGCAACTAATGTTTATACACTGAGTGGCCAGATTATGATGACCACCCCATCAGTACTTCGTTGGGCCACAAGCTGACTCCACGAGATGACTCCACGAGATGACTCCACGAGATGACTTCGTTGGGCCGCCTCGTGACTCCACGAGATGTTGAAAGGTGATGCGAGGAATCTGACACGGCACTGTGGCCTTTCTGTTGTCCTGTACCAGTCTTGCCCCTCCCCCGTTCTGCCCTAACATTGACTAGTCGCTGACGGCCACGAATTCTGCTGTTTTGCTGATACTCACTCCATGGCTCCGAGCGCCAACAATCATCCCGCGTTCAAAGGCTGTTAAATCGCGTTGTTTCCCCGAATCTTCAGAAAAAAAATCACTTCTACTGTCGTGGTAAACAACCCGCTTCCCTATTTATAATGGTCTGGCCCTCTAGCAACTTCAGCGCCAAATTATATCTAATTTGTCTACAAACGTCAGGTGGTCATAATAATCTGGCCACTCGGTGTATATAATAATCCGGCCACTCAGTGTATATATAGATGTGGTATCTCTGTGAATGTCAAAATTAGAGGAATTTAATTAGGATTTTTTTTGGGTGGTGGGTCATGCCAATGGCAAAATGTACACTATATTGCAAAGTATTGGGACACCCCTCCAGATCATTGGATTCAGGTGTTCCGTGACATTTCCTTGCTACTAAATATCACCTGTTAGGCCCTGTTCACACCTTTACATTTTGTCGGGGGTTCAACGCTCTATGAACGCTCTACAAAACGTACAAACTTGAAAATCCCATTGTTTTCTATGGGTATGGTTCACACCTTTCCGTATTTCAGCCCGTCTGAACGCGCTACAAAACGGCCTACGCCTGAAAAGGTACATGTACTTCTTTGGGGCGTTTTGGTCTCGCGTTTCCATTGGGATACAGCCAAGTAGCCCTCGGAAACACGCGTTTGACGCGCGTTTTTTTAACCTCGAATCACGGTAAAAACGTGCACCGCAAAACGCGCAAAAAAAAGGTGTGAACCCAGCCTTAGTGGTATTATAACAAAGTGGAAGCCACTGGGAACAACATCAACTCAGCCACAAAGTGGTAGGCCATGTAAAATGACAGAGCTGAAGCACATAGTGCGCAGAAGTCGGCAACTGTCTGCAGAGTCAATAGCTACAGACCTCCAAACTTTGTGTGGCTTTCAGATTGGCACAACAACAGTGCGTAGAGAGCTCCATGGAATGGGTTTCCATGGCCGAGCAGCTGCATCCAAGCCTTACATCACCAAGTGCAATGCAAAGCGTGGGATGCCGTGGTGTAAAGTGCGCCGCCACTGGACTCTAGAGAAGAGGAGACGTGTTCTCTGGAGTGACCAATCACGCTTCTCTGTCTGGCAATGCGATGGACGTGTCTGGGTTTGGCAGTTCCAAGGAGAACGGTACTTGCCTGACTGCATTGTGCCAGGTGTAAAGTTTGGTGGAGGGGGGGAGTTGTTTTTCAGGGTTTGGGCTTGGCCCCTTAGTTCCAGTGAAGGGAACTCTTAAGGCATTAGCGTACCAAGACATTTTGGACAATTTCATGCTCTCAACTTTGTGGGAACAGTTTGGGGATGGCCCCTTCCTATTCCAACATGACTGCGCATGGATGAGCGAATTTGGGGTGGAGGATCTTGACTGGCCTCCACAGAGTACTGACCTCAACCCGATAGAACACTTTTGGGATGAATTAGAGCGGAGACTGTAAGCAGGGCCTTCTCGTCCAACATCACAAATGGTCAGACATTCCCATAGACACACTCCTAAACCTTGTGGATGCCTTCCCAGAAGAGTTGAAGCTGTTATAGCTGAAAAAGGTGGGCCAACTCAATATTGAACCCTATGGACTAAGATTTGAATGGCAAAAAAGTTCATGTGCGTGTAATGGCCGGCGTCCAAATACTTTTTGGCAATATAGTGTATCTCAAAATGTAAAAATAAATGTTTAGGACAGTTTTCCTTTGACAATAAAAAATTACGAGTTAACCATTACCATTTTCCTCCAAATGAAGGACAGAGGTCCTAGAAAAAAGTTTGACATTATTTCAAAACAGTCAATCAGGGCAAGTGATCAGAGCAACTGATGAAATAATTTTTTGGTTTAATGAGTCAATGAAACCTGAAGTGCAGATCGAGTTTAAAATCATATGCTTCATTCTGTGTGCTTGGCTGATTTCTTATATTGGGATGCTAGTATTGGTATTGACACTGAATCCTGGGTTTGGCACCCACCTTGGCACATAGTGCGGGGAATTGGGTTAGCCATAGGGTGCTATACAGCTCCAGGGCAATGGCGTATCCACATTGGTGTGACCCCGCCATTACAAATTATTTTGGGAAGTACTCATCCAAAGTGAGCAGTGGTGGCGATTCCTAGCCTCTGGTATCTCCGCTCCCTTCTCTCAGGTCCTGGTCAGTCACTTGGTCTGCCTCCCCTGTTGTTATGTCAACTGTGAGTACCCTTGGATCTCCTTACAATGGAGCACACCAAATGTAAAGATACATGGGGCAAAAGGGTGGCCAACACAGCAGCTCCTAGTGGACATGGGGTGGGTTACCTGAGGTTTCCCCTGGTTAACATGCCTGTTAGTCCACCACTACCCTCTAATGCGTCAACTAACCGGTTGAGGCTCATTCCAGAGGTGAACTAGATTTGTTGTCCGCACACTATTTTGCTTCGGAATATTGTCTTTATTTGTATTCCTTTAGCTTTTGCAGTAGATGTGCTGATGACACTGTGGATCGGTTTTCCCTGATCTTTTGCCTTTCCTCCACTGAAGATCCTTCCTCAGCTGGTTTGCAGGATTGATATAGAAGGAATTATGGTGGTTCTGGTGGCACGTAGTGGGCCGAGAAGAGTGTGATAAACAGATGTCCTTCATTTGTCATCAGGCTGGAGGCTTCTGGATCGCCCAACCTTCTGTCTAAAGGACCTGTATTCTATCCTGTTTCTCAGGCACTTGCTTTGACAGTAAGGACATATCCTTACATTATTAAAGGCCTGTAAGCCCATGTCTTGTAAAGAGTGTTAGCGGACATGGAAAGCTTATTTTGCTAGGTATGAATTTTATTTTGTGGGAAAGAATTTAGCATTTCTCTAGTTGGGAGTGGATCAGCAGTTAGGCTTTTGTTTGAGCAAGGGTCAGATTTCAGCTCTGGCGATTCTGTATCAAAGACCCTTGTCTTCTCATTCTTGGGTTAAGGCTTTTATACAAGAATAGCTAATTTAGCTTCTCCTAGATGCCCTCATGGGACTTTAATCTAGTCATCTTGTCTCTTCAGCATGCTTCCTTTGAACCTATAGAAGAAATTACTTTATGGGGTCTAACATGTAAAGTCTTGTTTGCTATTACATCCACTGGGAGAGTTTCAGAGCTAGCAGCTCTGCCTTGTAAGGAGCTTTTTCTTGTTCTTCTTAAGAAACAATACTGCTTCTTTTGATCTCAATCAGGACATTGATCTTCCTTCCTTTTGTCCAAATCCAGTAAATAAAATATCTTACACTATTTGGATGTGCTTTGTGAGATACATGTTGATCTTGCCGATATGGCATTTTTCAGACAGTTGGATTTCTTGTCTGTCAGAAGGGCCTATCAAGGGGGTCCCAGCCTCTTGATCCACCATATCTTATTGGATCAGACAGGTCATTCTTCAGGCTACCTCAGGTAAGGATGCATCACTGCACTCTTAAGGCTCATTCCACAAGGTCTGTTAGAGCTTTTTGGGCCATCTGTCAACTGGCATCTGCTATGCAGATTTGTGAGGTTGGCACCTGGTCTTCTTTTCATAAATTCACAAAATTCTACAAGGTGGATGTTTAAGCATCTGAGGGTGCAGATATTTGCCTGGAAGGCCCTACAGGCTGCTATGTGAGTTAGTCCTGTTCCTGTGCAGGCTGGTAGTTGTAGTCTCTTACCCACCCATCTAATTATAGCTCTTGGATGCCCCAGTCATCTTTGATTCGGCCTTTGTACTGTACTGTACAATCAAGTATATAGGATTTTTGACTGGCCAGTAAAACCCTTTTCTTGTAGAACAATACAGTACACAGGACCCTGGCCTCATTATCCCCCATGGCTTGCAAAACAGCTAAGGAGTACCTGTTGTGGGAAGGGTTATGTGGTATTCTGCAGCTCTGGCCAGTGTCCAAACACCTGCCAATACCACCATAGTACTCAGTCATCTTTGATTCGGCCTATGTCTTGTAGTGTAATCCAGGAAAATAATTTTACAAGTAAGTTAAAAAAACGTATTTTTGGGGGGATAAAGGTTTTACATAAGTGAATAAATGCTGATAATGGTAAACAAGCCTATCAGTGTTTAAAAGAAATAAAGACAAACCTTTTTTGGCTTTATTTCTCCTTTGAGTCACAGGAGAAGGTTTACTAATCTACTCCTGTGACCCAAAGTCAGCATATAGGGAGGTACTGCCTGCTATATGCTGACAGAGCAGAGCTGCTCAGGTCATGGTATAGAGACGGCATGTGACAACTGCAGTGTCCCATGCCGACCCTTAGTATTGGGAAGAGTATATTTTACATTCCCAATCTCTTTTAAATGGATTGTCTCAACCCTGTAACTGCACTTTTGCTTCAGAGGTTGATTTGTTAAAGAATGTTAAAAAATAAAGGAAAAATGCCTAAAAAAGAAAAGTAATGCAGCTACCACCTTTATGGAATAGTAAGCTGCAATCTTTTAGATGTTTTGCTTTCAGGTTTAAATCAACTTTTAATTATATTTTTTATGTCTTCCTGGAGTTCAGCTTTAAGTTTTCTCGTTTGCCTTTTCAGATCAGCTACGGATCCTCAGATTACTCATTAAGTGACAGACACATCTATCCACATGTTTTCCGTATGCTACAAAGTCATCGTGTCCATTATTTAGCCATATCCAAATTAGTAAAACACTTTGGCTGGACTTGGGTTGGAATATTTCTATCAGACGATGAGACCGGAGAGAATGACATCAAAATACTAAAGGGTCACCTGAGAGATCAAGGGATTTGTGTGGCCTTTGCTGTAAGGATAGGTTTTACAAAATATTTTCCAAAGAAAGACTATACAATTGTGAAATATAAGAACCCTCATGTTGTTATATTTTGTGGTATCATTTCAGGAGATATCTTTCTTTATCTGAAGCCGTACAGTGATCTACTAAATGGCACTGTCTTAATTTTTCCCCCATCCTGGGCCTTTAAAGAATTATTTATAATTGGGTCAATTAATGAAAACGCTGCATATTTAGCTGTAGACCTTTTCCCGTTTGTGATTCCGGGGTTTGAAAAGATGTTTGATCACAAAGAGATGTCCAAATATTCAGAAATTCGGTTTCTTGAAGAATTGGTGGTTCATCTGTACTGCGCGTCATCGGCTCAAGAAAATAAATTTGTTTATTTAAAGAACATCACGTCTCCTTCTCGTATGTTAGACATACACAGTTTACAGGCTATATTGGAGGGAGCGAAGAAATACTTGCCAATAGCACTCTCATCCCGGGTGTATTATGCAGTTGAAGCCATGGCTACAGCTATACACAACATGGATTTATATCTTCAAGGAAAAAACCTCACGTACGGCACAAAAAGATTTACTCTGGTAAATGGAAACTTTATCATTATATCAGATCTAGAATTGTATCAGTACTGCAATATGCTGTGGAAAAAACAAATACAACTGACCTCTAGCCTTCCTTTCAGTCTGGCAGGGTTGTACAGGTTCCTCTGCTGGACTGATATTGCCGATTCTGATTACACTGCACAAGGTGAGCTTTATTCAGTGTGCAATAGAAGCTGCAGCAAGTCAGATAGAGCCCGCCTACTTTCCTGGTTAGATGATGTCCAGCATTAACTTGTCAAAATGTCCTGTTTTTTCAGCCCTCACCCTGCAGCGCCGTAAGGCGCCCGCCTTACTTGCCTTGTGCTAGCGCCGGGCCTGAGCATTATCTTTCCTCCCCAGCTAGACTTTTCCTGCCCTCCACCCTCTTTCATTGGGTTATAGGTTATCATTTTTTTCAATCATGGATGCTCAGTAACATCAGGGATGATCTTGATGCCCACAGAGATTCACAGAGTTTGATCTGAACTTCAGCTGTTTGAGGTATGCCAAATGGGCAAACTTAATGGCCAGATAGTACTGCCATGTAGGCCACAAGTGACACTGGCTGCTAGGATAAAGGGGGCAGCCAGTGTCCTAACAACCAATGACCTCAATGCCTGCCAGCTTGTTTCAAATTTTAAACAAGCTGGCGGGCAACCTGGGTTGACTAAAATATGTGGTCAAGGACACCAGGCGGCATCATTGGTCGGCAACAGAGAGAATCATTATGCATGGGTAATCATGTTGGTGAGGGACAGTTGTGGGGGCATTATTCATCTTACTTGAAGATGGATCTTTATCACTGGATGGCCTGGCTGAAAATGGATTTACACTGCTAGACTTTCTAACATACCCCCATGGCATTACCCAGCTACCCATGCCCTTTTTCCCTCAAAACATGAAAATGGGGCAGAAAAAAAAAAAAAGTTTGGCTCATTTAATGTTCGGAGTTGGCAATTCTTTTTCATTTGTTCAGCAAACATACAGCAAACCTAACCTTCCTCTGCTAACTATTCACTAAGCTACATATGTGGGCAAATGCAGCCTGGCTTAGAAGTCATCAATGCTTTCTGCTGATACTAACTGCAGAATTCCACATTTTACACAATTACTGCTCTGACAGTAAAGACCCTGTGGACAGTGCGAGATTAAATTGCTTCTCATTCCTTGTCTCGTTGTTGAAATGATTATCATTACCCTCTGGATCTCTTCTTGTAACCAGTTTTCTACCCATGTGCATACAAGGTCTTTGATGCTAATGGACCTTAATTTGTAAATTATACACTTGTGGGGTACTGTAGTAAATGCTTTAGCAATGTTCAAATAAATGACATCAACTGGTCTTCCTCTGTCTTCCTCTTTTTCCTCATAATGAGACACTAAGAGCGCAAATCCGGAATTATAAATGGTTTGGTTTTGTATATTTGTGAAAAAGTGGTTTCTAAAAAGTGATACACTTACTTGTGGTGTCAGAGATCCGGGCACGGTGGCGATTCTAGCACTGCACTTTCAAGCTCCGAGCTTGAAAAAGAGGATCTCCTCGAAACGCGTTGCTCACTGTCACGGCCCTGTGCACTCCCCTTCCCAATCGACTGTCACTTCCACTCCATCACCTCTAGAACATATACTACACGAAGACCAGAGGCAGTTTACACATCAGCCTTTTGGCACACATAGAATTCAACCTGCTTTCTACCTCAGTCCTTGACCCCTGAGCTCATCACTATAACTGATGACACCATTCCCAGCCGCCATAAACAACCCCTAAAGCAAGCCCTATTTCATCCCTACTCTGCCACTTGGAGACCACTGGATATTGAACAAAAAATTTTAACCATCACTCCCTGCAGCGCTAGAATCGCCACCGTGCCCGGATCACTGACACCACAAGTAAGTGTATCACTTTTTAAAAAACACTTTTTCACAAATATACAAAACCAAACCATTTATAATTCCGGATTTGCGCTCTTAGTGTCTCATTATTACGTTCACAGGGTTCTCCTCCTGTTTTTTGAGCAGCAATCCACACCATTTGCATCCACGCACGCCCTGCATCCCTGAAAGAGCGCTGTGTATTTTTCTTTTTGTTCTCTTTTTCCTCATAAATATAAATAGGCTGGTTTGACAAGGAAGGTCCTTCGTGAATCCATGCTGGTTGTTACTAATACTGGTATAACAGGCAGATTTAACTGGTTAAGCGGAGATCCACAGTCCATTCACAGATGTGTTGCCACAGAGAATCATTCTGTTGCAGCCACAGCTTACATTCAAACAGCATATCTCCTTATACAAGTTTTGTAACACATGCACCACATCACAAAACTATAACAATATTGTTCTATCGCTCTCCAAGCAGACTGTGTGTAAACACTATATACTATATATGTAACATATATACTGTATACAGTATCATCTATTTTATTGTCATTTAAAAGGGTAAACATTTTAAGTAGAAACATTTTGAGCCAGCATCTTGGAAAGCAGTCACTTATTTTTATATTTATTATTTTTTTTCTTTTATTAATCAATTTTACCCAATCTCTACCGTATCATAGAAAAAGAAGACAAGAGGGTTTGGACTTTTAAGGTACCCCAAGGATCACACAAAACATATTTTGTTTTTATATAAAGTATAACACATTTTATTTCTAAACATATTTAAAAATGCATGGTTTTAAAAGAAAGACAACAAAAACTGCCTAAAAGAGACCATAGGATGTAGCTGCATCCTCCCACACTTGTATCTATATTACAGTACTTGTTGCAATTTGCTGGATATCATCTTCTTTGTTTTATTGTAGTCCCGTGGGAGGAAAACAGATTGCAACGTGTTTCACGGAGATCCGCTTCTTCAGGAATAGGCTACTGTCTTTAATAGCCTATAGAGATGGCTGGATCCACCACTGACCATCACTCAACCATGGGTGCGGACGGGGAGGGACCAAAAAGAAAGGGGGTAGAGAGCAAGATAACACCCAAGTCAAAGCAGGAAACTGCAGAGTGAAAGGCGTTCAGAAGAGGCCATATTTTTTATTAGATGAAGACATCTCAGAAATTCTTCTTATTATTCAATAGATCATACCTGACATTATCCATTTCCATCAACGGTATACGTTCTATAACCAATAACTTGGGCTCTAAACACAGCCTCACCAGATATAGCCAATACTCTTTCCTTTACCTTCTCCTGAGCTCCAACCACCTTTTTTAAGGTATCCAACCATTTCTTAGACCCCTATGTGAAGACCTCCCCCACGCCCACGATCAAACAGCAGCACAGCGGGCACCGCCATTAACACCACTTCAAAAACATAACGAGCATACTTTTTCCTAGATAAAGAGATGAAATACACCATATTTCATTAAAGGAGAACTATGGGGTTAAGGCTTTTCCCCATAGTTCTCCTTAGGGTAACGGGAGGGCACAAACTAGCGTCCTCCCGTCACCCTAGGCTCAGTATACCACGAGCTGTAGCTCACTATATACTGAGATGCCGCAGCTGAAGCGGATCCCGACAATTGTGCCGGGATCCGCCCAGCTGCGTGACTGACAGCTGGCTCTGCCTATCTAGAGGCAGAGCCAGCTGTACCCGCCCCCTCCCCCGTCCGTTCCGCCAGTCAGCGCTGGAGGATCGGGGAGGGGGGAATCCAGCCCCTCCCCTGTCACGGCAGAGAGCCGTGACAGGATCGAGAGGTGAGCGAACGCCGGTATGTGTTCGCTCACCTCCCGATCTACTGAGCCGACTTGTGACAGTCTCATTGTCACAGGTCGGCTAGAACTATGAGGTGAGTGAAAATCACTCCCCTCATAGTTCTCCTTTAACAAATCATTTTTGCATGTTATATAACAAATAGTATATTGTAAAACAGTAATCTATAATTGCTACAAAGAAATCAAACACTTTACTTTTGCCATAGGAATGGTTTATAACTTATAACCTCATTTAGGCCTGGAGACTTAGTCGCCCGCAGTGTGTGTATCCGTCTGGTTTCCCTCCTGAGTACCCCTGCATCAATGTCCCCTCCCCTGTTATTTTCATGTACTCTTTCCAACACTTTGAATTTCATACATGAGGAATCAAAATGATGTACCAGACCTACATGGCGGCTGATTGGAGTAGATGGTATCCTTTTTGATATTAGGTATACATGATCGTATATTCTACGTCGTAGTTGTCGTTTTGTTTTTCCTACATAGAAGGAACCACAGCTACAGGTCATAAGATATACTACAGTTGTGGTAGAACAATTCGCAACATGTTTGGCAGTAAATTTCCTTTCATTAGGTAGAATAAACGTATTCCTTCCTGTATCCGTGGACAGTCGGCACATTCACCACATTTGTATGTGCCGATGATCTCTCCCTTACAGGGGTCCCCCCGTTTTTGTCCCATGTAATGAATGCAGGTTACATTATCCCTACTGTATCTCTACCGTAGTTAAAGTGACATTAAACCCTCAGATTTTTTAACATAAAACAATACTGTAATGTGCGCCTTACTGTAATCCATGGTTGTTTCCCTTCTCTTTGCTGCTCTTCCTTTTAAATATGTATCTGTTCTCATGCTGTGCAGAACTTCTGTTTTGCAGCAGACTGCCTTGTCTCAGGAATGGATACACGGTGTCTGTGTATCCGTTTGTATAGGCTTGTAACCTGAGCCAGCACTACAGGAAGAGGCCCTGAGCTGAAAAGGGAAGTTCTCCCCAAGCATGAGAAGACATGAGGATTTAAAAGGAAGAGCCGCAAAGAGAAGGGAAACAACCATGCATTACAGTAAGGCACACATTACAGTATTGGTTTATGTTAAAAAATCTGAGGGTTTAATGTCACTTTAACATACACGTTACCAATATTACCCACCACAACACTTATCTACAAACAGTCAAAAAGGAAATTTACTTGGTTTCCTATTGGTCATCATTATATACTCTTAACAATCAGACATAGTTGCGCTGTATCTATATAATTAAATTTTCTACAATTAAATATAGAGCAAGGAATTACTTTCCTTACCTAAAACTATGCCCTCCCCTTTTCAGACTGATTCATCCCTGAGCTGATTCAATCACATTGTTTAAAAACTAGGGCTGGTAATGATTAAAATTTTTGTGTTCGATTAATCGAAATTTTTAAAAATCGATTAATTGATTAATTTCGATTAATTATAATGCACATACAGATCCAACTACATTGGCCTATACACATACAGCACAGCAATGAAGTAATAAAATGAACTAGGATCACAGTAATCCAGCACGTTATTAATCTCACGTGCCCCACTCAATATGGCCGCCGCTTGAGTGGTGCAACTCAGAATAATAACGTGCTGGATTAGTGTGATCCTAGTTCATTTTATTACTTCATTGCTGTGCTGTATGTGTATAGGCCAATGCCTTGGCTGGCGCTCGTGTAGAGAGTTTAAAAAAAAAATTAATCGATCAAAAAAATTTTAATCGATCAAAAAGACTAACGATTAATCGAGAAATTAATCGTTAATTTGCACAGCCCTATTAAAAACCAGTTGCCTAGCATCTCAACGTTGCACCAGAGCACCTCTGGCTGCTCCGGCAGACCACCAGAAACCAAAACAATACCCTAGTTCCCCAGAATTGTCATTTCGAGCCTGATGAGGGGGACCCTGTGTGGCCCCCGAAACGTTGCTATTTGTTGTCACATGAAGCGTCAATAAACAGATGTGTTCTTCACTGCAATATGGTGTGCTGGTGACAGCTTTAACAAGGAGAGAGGAGGGGACCCGGCGGCATACCTCCTCACGCCGGGTGAACGTCCCCTCCTCTCTCTGCCGGCGTCCATCACCAAGATGGTCGTCGTAAGGCGTCAATAAGAAGACCGCTCATGCACAATGATTTTGTCTTCCGGATTGTGAAACTACACAGCGCCATGCATGTCATTACTTGGAGCACCACAACCCGTATATTTCTATGATCAATACTATCGCCATATGGAGTGCAGGTGACACACTATAACACTTCATGTTCTGTTCTGGCATTTCACACTAGCACTCGAGCAAGAGACTCCCCACCAAGGGATGTAAAGGCGTGTTCCATCACAGGACACCCATACACCATATGGTACCATCAAGCTGAGCACAAGTATCCATAGCCATGTGAATGGATCCACAAGGTGACACGGTATCAGACACTATCACGCCTGCCTGCCCGTAGGTCACCATGTCATCCTGAGAAAGGGATCCTGTGTGGCCCCAAAATGTTTTTTTTTACAAAATGTTTAATTAAAAGGAACAAGAAATTGACCTCTTTTGTTCTGTGAGTGTTGGTAATTTTATCTTCCGAATTGTGAAACTACACGGTGCCATCTGTGTCATCACTTTGAGCACCACAACCCATATTTTCATGGTTGATACTATCGCCGTATGGAATGCAGATTACACCACAACACTTGACGTTCTGTATCTGGACCTGAGATTAAGTAGGCAGGTCAGACTAACACTTGCTTTTCAATAAATTATTTTTTTATTCACTTACAATGTACTTTTGAACTTGGAAATTTGGTTATTTTGACACCTTGCACAACCCTCTTTGCTTCTGGGAATACCTAATTGCAGTCTATGGTGGCCCAGCCCCCCCTCCCCCCCCCCATAGTTTTTTGTTTTGCAGCATTGGGAGGAGTGAAGGCAAATACTGTTGAATGCCACTTGAGTGACAGCTATGAGTCTGCTGGGGCTGCTGACACCACATTCATAATGGAAATGCCTAGCAGCAGTGTCTGGGCCTTTGGTTGTTCACCCAAGGAAGACTTTAAATGGTAAAAAAAATACTGCATTGAATACGTTTAAATGGACATATATTATTATGGGATTTTATTTGAATTATCTTATGGGAAAATGAATGGATTGGTAAGAGAGTCTCACAGCCTAAAGTGACTAACAGTGCAAACACTGGATGCGCATCCCACCAGAGAATGTAAACAATGCAAGAAGCATGCCTAGCAGCGGAAACATTATGGGGCAAACATATGCCAAAGTTTGCCTGGGATATGTTTGGAAGCCATGTCATATCCAAACATAGAAAGGAAAGGAGGGCCATGCCTTCCTTTTCCTTGCTTGCAATAGTATAGCCAACCATTTAAATCGTATGTAAATCAGTAAGTCCTAATAACAACAAATAACTATTTTCTAGTTACATAGATATGTGAAAACTATGAAGAATCCATTTCATATATTGGATCAAAACGCTTTTTTTAATAAACAAGGGGAATTTGTTTACCGGTATGAAATAGTAAATTGGATATTTATTCCTGATATTGCTTATGACACTGTTGTTGTCGGTAACTATACCCCATGGGCTGCCGAGGACAAGCAACTTCTCATTGACTCGCAGGCCATAACTTGGAACCACAATAAGAATAAGGTAAGTGTGAAGCAAGAGCGGATGATAGGTCTAGCTGCCTGTTGAATAGTTAACGTGAATCTAAACCTAAACCCAAAATATAATATAA